ACCCCTTTCATAAGGAAATTCTATCATTACAACAGCATAAATGAACCTGGAGGATATTGTGTTAATGAGAAAAACTGGGCCCAGAAGGACAAATACTGCCTGATCTCAGCTGTGGAATCTGAAAAAGGTGATCTCATGGATTCAGAGAGAATGATGGTTACTAGAGGCTGAGCGTGTGGAGGAATGGGGAAATGTGAGTCAAAGGATGCAAATTTTCAGTTAGAAGGGAGGAAATTAAGAGGTCTATTATACAACATGATGAGTATAGTCAATAACTGTATTATGTACTTGAAAATTGCTAATACAGTAGATTTGGGGTTGGAGGATGTAGATTTGATAGATTGCTTTGATAGATTGCTTGCCTAGCATGCACAAGGATGCAAAAAAGTAGATATGAACCCCTCTTCCCACAAATGTGATAACTTTATTCCATAATACATTTATTCTACAATGTACACATATTTCAAAGCATCATGTTACATATATGTAATTTTTAGCAGTCAGTTAAACTTAAATATTAATTTTTAAAGTATTTTATTTATTATTTGTATTTTATGTTATGTATTACCTGCATTTAGGTAAGTGCACCCATATCATGCAATGCCCATGGAGGCCAGAAGAGGCTGTCAGATACCCTGGGACTGGAGTTACAGACAGTTGTTAGCTGCCATGTGGTTTCTGGGATTCAAACCTGGGTCTTCTGCAAGAATAGTCAGTGTTCCTAACCACTGAGCCATCTCTCCAGCCCCTTAAATATTTATTTTTTAAGGAAGAGTAAATGGTGGCTCGTGCCTATCTCCCGACAGTTCTTGCTGTTTGCATCCTGCACTGCTTTGCCTACAGCAGAGAACAAGATGGGTATGATCCTGCACCCCTGGATACAAACATGCTGATAGCAAAAACAAAGTTTTTAAAGAGTAAACTAGGGGTCGGTGAGATGGCTCACCAGATAAAAGCACTTGTTGCCAAGCCTGAGGACCTGGGTTGAATCCTCCGGATCCGCAAGATAAAAGGAGAAAAACAATTCCTGAAAGTTGTCTTCTGACCTCTGTATGCTCACTATAGCACGTGTGTACACACACCACATTAAATAAATATAAATAAATAAATGCAATAAGAAAATGTTTAGATAAACTAGAAAACTAGTGAAGGTGCTACCGAGGAGACAGAAGGAACTGGCCAGGAGATGGGCGTGTAAAGACACGCTTTTGTTTGGGTGATCTGAGCAGAGGCCTCCTTGGCTATGGTCAAGCTTGACTATGAAGGACCAAGAGGGGCCAGCTCTGCAAAGAGCACCAGGGAAAGGCTTTTCAAGGAAAGTAAACTTCAGGGACACTGTCCTGAGGCAGGAAAGACCTTGGACTGTGGAAGGAACACAAGAGGAACAGACTCACTGATGCAGAAGGAGGGAAGAAAAATGAGGAACAGGCCAGATCAGGCACCTTCAGCGCCCTGCAGACCATGGTGTAGGAGCCAGGTTTTATCCTCCATGCAACGGAGGGCATTGGGAGGTTCAAAGCAGGGGCATGATGGACTCCACTTATGCTTACACCCTGACTTTGTGTGAGAGGTGGCAAGGGGCAGAGAGGGTGAAACAGAGAGCCTGTTAGGTTCCAACAGTATCCCACCCAGAAATCTATGCTGGGACCCAGGTTAGGAGAGGGTCTTGGGGGTGGACAGAAGGGGATAGATTTGTGGTTCAAGTGTAGCATCAACAGCTGGTGAAATGGAGCATATATGTACATGAGACTAGATTCTAGCCCCAGCAGTTAGATGGGCAGCGATGCCCCTGGCTGAGATGGGTGACCAGAGGCAAGTTTAGAGGGTGGTGACAGAGTTGTTCATACAGTTCCAGTTTGGACATGCTGAATTTGAGGGTCTAGGAGATATCCAAGAGTCCAGCTCCAGCAGAAGTTGAATACATGAACATACCCACAGAACATGATGGTGAGTGCCAGGACCCACAGGAGGGGTTCAGATCAGCCCCTCCACATCCTGGCTTGCCCCAGAGCCCCTGTGTCTCAGATAGTTCCTTTGCCTCAGTTTCCTCATCACTGGACTGGGCTGCTATTTGCAGTTGGCTCCCTGGCTCATTGTGATGATGGGATGAGTTAACACATGGAAAGAGCTTAGATCTCCATAGTCAAGTATTCAGTCAATGTCAGCTTCCTGTAATAACAATTATCATCATTTTAGCTGCAGTAATTTTCTTGCCATTTGTCTCTTTCTAATTAAAATCAAGGGCCTCAGGAACTGGTAAACACTTTGGATGTTCTTGGAAGTATCTGTTTACCAGTCTTTGAGTTCTGTGAACCTGGACTCTGTCTCCCTTCTCTGGAACCCCTTAGCATGGGACCCAACACACAGTAGGCCTGGTAATGTTTTCTCAGTCCCATGGAATGTACCTTGATTTGGGGGGGTGGATATTTTAATAAAATGATGTAGAAGCTGTCAAAAGAGACAAGCAAGAGAAGTGGCAGGAGGCATTTTTTGTGACAGTGACCATAACAGCATCTGTAATGGATGGGGACCCTTTTTAAGATGTCCTTATTCACATATATTAATTATACATTATGGATTTTGTCCTGACATTTTCATACATGTACCTAATGTATTGTGATCATATACTGTACTCTGTTACCCTGTTTTGTCCCCCATACCCCTCCTGTTGATCCCGTTCCTATTTCTAACTAGTCTCTCTTCTATTTTCCTGTCTTTTTACTTTTTCTTGTCTTTTTTATGACCCATTGAGTATCATTAGGGCTCCTTACAGGAGCATGGGAGAGGGGTTATTTAAAGGACTGTGTGAGCACCTTACCAGTGGCTACACCACGGAAGAAAATATCACTCCCTTCCCCATCAGCCATTAACTTTGAATAAATCCTGAGGGGTGGTTGGGTCATTGTGAGTCCCTCCCTGCTCTGTGCGAAATGGTGATGGCCCAATCTGTGTGGGTCTTGCACAGTAATCACAGCTACTATGGGTTCAAGAGTGTACCAGCATGTCACGCCCTTAAGTCAGCATTCCATTCCATATTTCTCTCTCTCTCTCTTTCTCTCCCTCTCTCTCTCTCTCTCTCTCTCTCTCTCTCTCTCTCTCTCTCTCACTGGTTCTTACAGGTGGGAACTCAGATTCCACAAAGCAGCCTCCTCCAACATTGTTAGTAGTACAGTAGAAAAAAGGTTGTCCCTGCAGTGAATCAAGCCTGGTGCCTCCTAGAGATTTGCACCCACACATCCATGAAGGGTCCAGACACTTCAGCTCCACAGGCATAGATGCCACACTTACTCCCCCTTGCTTGTCTCTGTGATCTATGCCCTGAGGCCTTGCCCTGTTACTCTGGTGTCATGAAGTTTCCTTGGGCAGTTTTAGGGACCATTGGTCCCTTGGATGAAACCTATCACCACACTAAAGGTAGGGGAGCCTGACTTTTTCTGGGCCTCTGATAGGTAGCTCCGCCCTTTTCTGGGATAAAAGAAGAGGAGAAGCAGAATTAAATTCACATTTTAGATAAACAATGGAGAATGGTTTGGTATAAGGATATCTCATGCACTATTTCTTTAGTATTTTTATTTGCTTGATCTGGCAACTCTAGCTGCAGGAAACCCAAGTTCAAAGTCCCCATGCACTGGACCTATTGTGTCCTACAAGATCATGTCTGAGACACTGATGCCATGGCTGAAACTAAGCCCAGCTTCCTCCATCCTCTCCACCACCCAAGTAGCTCTGGCTTCCCTGGAAGACATGACCGAAGGGCCTTGATGGTCTCCCTGCTCTTCCCTCAGCTTCTGGCACACTTTGCCCAGCGGTTAATGCTCCAGAAACACTCTGCCTCTCTGCTGACCCTCACACAGGCTGCCATGTCTTACCTGAACTCTTGTTCCTCCTGGTCCTGCTCAGAGTGCTTGTGCCTCTCTCCTTTTCTGTCCCCTTTCTGGGACCACAGCTCAGGGGTCACCTCCCTAGGAGTCCTAGGCTCCCCGAGACTCTGTGTGTGGTGCAAAGAGCTTTATATTCCCATAACACATCTACCCTGAAATAATGTGTATCTCTGCACCCTCAATATTTGTTTTAGATACATGAGATTACAATGACCCATGCCTGTCTTCTCTCTGAGCCAAATATTGGGCTTCCAGAGCAGATAGGATGACACGTTTACTTCTCTATTTTCGGCACCTAGAGCAGAGCTTGGCCCAAGCAGACACTCAACGAATGCTTGCTGACTTGATTTAATGACTGACTGATCAGTTCACAGAGAGGAGGAAGTAACATCCTTTATAAGCAGAGCCTGTAATACTGCCTCCCATCAGTTGCCCTCCCCATCCCTGTCCTCACCTCTTTCTCCTTGCACTGGCTTGCTCAGGCACCGTGCCATCTCCCCTTTCATCTGGCAAGTTCTCTGGTGTTTCCTGTTTTGAACGTAGGGACTGTGCCCATCCTGTATTCCTCCCTATCTCGTTTCTTAATAACCCCGTATCTCCTTCTGACAGAAGCCTAGTGCCAGGAGTCAGATGAACAGGCACAGTAGGTACTGTGGAGATACAGTGACACAATAGATAGGAAGGCTGACTATCCATACACACTACCCTGGTTCAAATTCTAACTCTGTCACTTACAGGCTGAGCAGCAACCTGTGTCTGTTTCCCCAAGGTTAGATGTGTATAATAGTACTTAAAAGTCTTCAATTGTGAGGGAATTCAACAAACATACATACATAAGGAGTTTAGCAGGGGACCTAACCCATATAAATAGTAAATATTTGCATAATGATTCTTCACTGAGGTTAGGGAGAACAGACAAGGGACCAGACAGAGCCACAGCAACCACAGAGGACAAAGGATCAAGAGTCATCAGGAGCCAGTCATTTTAAAGGAAGCCTAGGAATAGGCAACTTGCAAGAAAAGCAAATTGGAAACTACATGCTGCTTTCTGGGGAGTTTGTTCACAGGGACAGGGCTCTGGGGAAGCCGCTGTGTCCATGTGACCACCTGTCCTTTCAGGGCCGACGACTGCTTTTGTGCTTCTCGAAAGCTGGACGCAGTGGCCATTGAAGCCAAGTTCAAGCAGGACTTGGGCTTCCGGATGCTGAACTGCGGACGGACTGACCTGGTAAAGCAGGCGGTGTCTCTCCTGGGGCCGGACGGGATCAACACCATGAGCGAACAGGTACCAGGTTTACTTGTCCAAACCAGCACCTCAGCCCCTCAGTGCTGGCCAAGTCCTGAGCAGCAGGTGGAACACAGGCTCCCCCTGCTGCTCATTCGGGTCGCTTAAAAATCGGGTTTCTGTTTTTCTTTTTTTTCTTTCTTCCTTACTTGGTTTGTTTTGGGGGGAGAGAGAGAGAGAGAGAGAGAGAGAGAGAGAGAGAGAGACAGTCTCTCAAAGATCTATCAGAAGTTACTGTCTCCTACCTCTAATTCTTCAACCCTTACCGAAAACCCTTCAGGGAGTTCTTTTTTCCTTAAAATAAAGAAAAAGAGTTCTCCAAACATGGTCAAGAAAGCCCTAAATAATCTAAAGTATTATTACTAAACCACCACAGGTGTACCTGCCTGGAGAGAGAAAGAGAGAGAGGGAGAGAGGGAGAGAGGGAGGGAGGGAAGGAGAGAAAGAGAAAGAGAGAAATGCTCTTGTCCATCTTAATGGAAATATCACATGATCATTTCAGCTTGAATAGAAAAGAACAAAAAATAGACTATTCTATAAAGGAAATAAAGTCATCAGTCAGATGACCAGCATTTATATTTATATGCATCCTTAAGTCCTTTTGCCACAATGGCTAAAATTAGTTCTGCTCTGGTACAAGACATGTCTAGGCCTAAGGTACCAAACTTTTAGGGTATTTTCAAAAGACAGAAAACACAGTCTTGGGACTCTACAAGGCACCCAGACATAGGCAACATGCCCAGATCCTGACTGGTACCATGAGAGGTACTAGCATTCACCAATCACAGAGGTACCTTGGAGAGAAAGTATTATGTCACAGAGAAAACAGCAGTTCCCAGTGTGAGCCCCATGTGCAGGGTTACAAGGGCAGACAGGCTGCTTCTCCCACTGGAAACTGGCGTTAAGAATTCTAGGGAGGGAATAGCAGGGACTATCTAATGACAGCTAATCATTTTCTTGAGCCACATTCAGGAGCTCTAGTGGGCACACACACGCCTTACATTTTTAAAAGCCAGGGATTTATCATACCTTGCTTTTTTCAATGTTTTATATTTAAGATACCTTGAAACATTACTGAACAGCTTTTAATGTCATTATAAAGCTTTTATATATATATATATATCATAAAGTATTTACTCACTAACCATTCCTCAGCTTAAGGTATTTCTAATTACTTTCATGAATAAATGCTAAGCTAAACATACTTAGTTCAAGTCCTTGTTCTAATCTCCAGTTGTTTCATTGGGAAAATTTGTCTTTAAACTGGAAGTAGTGGCTCAGGCGCACCAGCCTTCCTTAAGCCCTGTCCTCAGTTCCCTCCATTCAGCCTCATTTGTCTCCACAAAACCTCAGGTTATATGTCTGTTCCCTGTTGTCTTCTACTTTTTGACTGCTTTTCATCGGAGATTTTACTGTTTTTCTTGTTTACTAAAAAAAATTAATTCTTCATATATTAAGCACATAGCCCTTTACTATAATGTAACAAGTGTGTCTTAATTTATTGTTTACCTTGGAATTTTGTTTATAATTTTTCCAATGGTATGTGCTCGATGCTAGAATAATTGTCCTGCATGATGTCTTCCATTACTTTTATGCCTACAAATGGATCTGGAGATGAACTTTCTCACTGTCTTATCTCACTTTGGTGTGAGATAAGGCTCTAATGTGAACATTTTCCCAAATAACTGCTTTCACAGCACGGTTGATCGAGAACTCTGTTCCTTCCTTCTGGTGGTGGTGGTGCTTTGCTTGTAATGAGCAGGAGTTGAGCAGATAAGGGTCTCCTGAATGCCTTCCCTTTTGATTGCCTTGTGCTTGTAAACGATGATGTCAGAGCAGGTGCCAGTGAGGGGCTACCACATGCTCAGAGGTGTCCAGTTACCCTTGAACTCGGGCCAGCAGCTCCTATAGAACAAAGAGGACACTTGTGATACTATGTCAAAGAAACAGAATTCATTCATTAAATAGCTTAGGGCTTATACTTTCGAACCCAGAAAGTTCTTGTGAGCCCGAAGTTGCAATCAGACTCTTGTTTTAGTAACACATTTGGGTCTGTTGTTCCCTGAAATAAGGGAAAACCCTCCAACTTAAGCAAAGGTAACTGTCGAAATGTAGCGTCAGCTCCCTTTACTCCTCTAGAATGTGGTGAGTTGTGACCCTGTGAGTCACAGGGCTCTGGTTTCATTTTTCTATCCTCTAGAGTCTGAGTACACTCGCCCAATAAGACATCCCATATGTTTGTCAGCTGACCACAGCCACCTTGTAAACGTCTCTGTCTCTGGTTTTAACCACCACAGGGCATGACCCCCCTGATGTATGCCTGCGTCCGTGGGGATGAGGCGATGGTGCAAATGCTGCTGGATGCCGGAGCTGACCTGAATGTGGAGGTGAGGGTGCAGAGGGCTGCAGGCCCCCACAGCCCAGACACGGGCTTTCCCTTCCAGAGTCACCTTCACACATTACTCATTGGCCCTTTCAGTCACTGTGGCCCTGGTGAGACCACCTGGAAGATTTTGCGCTTCCCAAGAGCCCAGCCAAACTCCCAAGTAGCTACCCATGTGTGTACTTTATTTAAAGCAATAGCCATAGCTACTGGGAGCACTGACTTCCATTGGTTCATCCCTTTGCTCCTGATTCATTCATTCTGGGATGGAACAGACAACTCTCTCGAGTCCCAGCCCTTTCCCTCTGCCTGGCATATGCTGGCCTGACCCCCTAAGCTGAGGTTTTCTTCCTTAGATCCTCTGTCCTCCCCACCAAATCCTTCCTGACTCACTTTGTTGGCTGGCTAGTTGTTGAAGACAATTTCAAAGCTGCTGGGTAGCAATGTGGTGGGATGGAAAGCAAAGCCCCCCCCCTTCCCTGAAGGCTTTAGATTTTGACAGACTTGGGTTCAAGTTCTGAAATCACCACCTTCATAGTGACCTGCTTTGTGCTGTAGCCTTCCTGTCCCCCTCTGTGAAATGGAGAATGATCACTATATTGCATATGTGGTTGGGAAGAATAGATACCCAGCAGAGGTTCCCAGCAGAGGTTCCTAGCTATGGTTTGTGGCTCAGTTAAAACTGAGTATTCCAGCCCACCCCCAGACTCAAAATAAGTGACATCTCACTTTTTCGTTCTTTGTTGCCGGAAGGCCTGTTCAGCCAGGCGTCGGCAGTTACAGATGTCAGTGAGATTAGTGTGCTGCAGCCATCTATCAGCAACTCTGGGAACCCTTTTTGGTCCAAAATTAGATGTCCTTGCAGTGTTAGACTTGTGCTTTTTTTAATTAGCGGGTTTTATATTCATCTGAGGATAGCAGACAATAGATATATTTGTGAATCCAAACCCATTTTGGACCTTACAAGTTTCAAATGATGTGGGGATTTTCCACCCCTACTATGGGTCTCTCGAAGGGGCCATGCAGACCCCTTGAGGGTCCTCAGCTGGAGGTGTTCTCTAGCCCTTCCCATAGGTTCCACTCAGGGCCTTTGTCCAGTGTAGTGAACCAAACCTCAGGCCAAGGTCACATGCCCCAAGAATGTTAGAGAGAAAAAAAATCATGCACGGGTGCTAGTATCCCAAGTCCCCAGCCTTTGGCTTCTCCCACCACCTACCAGCCTGGTATATTTCAAGGTCCCCCATTCCATCCTGAAACCCAGTCTCAGATCACTCCTTAGTGGTATATCTAGGGCAAGTTTTGTGCCTGTGTTTCCAGTTACATGTGAGCCCTTGAAAACCAAGGAGTCAAAGTGAGCTGAGACAGCATAGAGGGTTGGTGAGCACAGTGACAGGGACAGCCACCCTCAGAAGTGTGACAGTCGTCTCTGTTGTGACAGTGTGCAGTAGACCGCCCCTCACCCCTGTGAGGCTCTAAAGTGTGGATGGAGTGCTTGTGACATTTCACACTACCTGACTTCTTGTCACTCTCAGAACCACCACCCTCCTCAAGCAGAAAGAGGAACAATGATAGGCTGGGCAGCTCATTGGCACCACCTTACTACTTTTCCAAAGTACCCTGCGCGCATGAGCATTAATGCCTTTCAGGGAAGTGAAGCCACAGAGAACGCAAAGCCACTGAGACTCTTTCTCTACCCTGTTGATACTATTCCCCAAACACAATCCTCCAATGGCCTACAGAGGCTGCTTCACCTGCTTCTTATAAACACAAGCAGGACCAGTGCGCAGGTCTGGTGAGAGGTTGTTTGGAGCCTCCGACTCGCTACTCCATATCACCATTTCCCAAGGCACTTGCTGGGATGTCTTTGTGGGACATTCCTAGCCTGAGTGCCTGGCCACAGACAGTTTAGATCTGCAAGCCTAAGTATTGTGAAGGTCACATTTTGAAAATAACTTCAATTTGTTTATAGGTTGTCAGTACTCCTCATAAATATCCATCCGTCCACCCCGAGACCCGCCATTGGACGGCTCTGACTTTTGCTGTGTTGCATGGACATATTCCTGTAGTTCAGGTATTAACGTATTATCCCTATCCACATCTGACCTTTAACTTTAACCTCCTTCGTGACACAAATCTAAATTTCTCCCAGCATGCATATTCTCCCAAAAGATTCATATTGGTTCATTGCAATCCAATGTAGCATATTCTTATCCTATGAGTAAAAAAAAATTATACTTGATTATGCAAATGATCTGTTTGGCCAGGCTTTAACCAATATGAAACTGTCACGTACCCACATGCAGCCTCACATACAGAGTGACAAACCTGTCGAGTTATTCCTGGTTGCTCTGAGGTGGGACTTCAGCTGTTATTTTGTGGATTTGCTAATTTTGCTTGTCTTAACATCGCCATGAGACTTGGATGGTACCAATACCCAGAGGGAATCCCCCCCTTGGCTATGACCCTGGTGTTCTGTGGAGTTCAGTGGTTTTCCAACCAGTGGGAAGAAGCATCCAGATCAGCAACAGGATATATGCACAAGGTGCTGCCTTGGGTTCCGCCTCTTGAGAACTGGATCCAGAAGATCTAGAGTAGAGCCCTGTGTCCTGAGAAACAGCTAAGTGTGGTGGCATGCCTGCCTCCGAGGTCCTTTGGGAATATTGCTGCCACTTTATCTGACTATGGTGGACTCGATGTTCAACGAATAGCCATTCACTGCACTCTCGATCTTAAACTCGGTCTTCACTTCAGAAGAGGGAGAGCAGCATCCAAGTCTGAGACCACACCCAGCCTCACAGTGAGTGCAGAGCTTTGGAGAGAGCAAGAACTCATCACCTCTTTTACGTGGCCCACACCTCCGAATTCTGTGCAGCAAAGTATAGTGTTACAGGGACAGATCAGCAATGTTGGTGTTTCACAGGAACCTTTGTTGTTTCCTGGGTCAAACCCACAGTAATGTTTCAGGAGGCTGAGTATGTGATGTGGCACCCTGGGAGCTGGCTTCTGCCTGTTGAATATCAAACTTGGTCCCTTCCTAACAGAGGGGGCACTAAGAAAGAAGGGAATTGATGACATCTAGAAGAACACAAACACCACCCCTTAATGGGCAGTGGCATCCCCAGCCTTTCAATCAGAAAAGGGAACGCTGGGAAGCCAAGCAGAGCCTCCCAGAACTCAGACTGAGTCCTGCCACAGGTGCGATCATGGGGGCCTGGCAGAGCCCTCAGGGTGTCCTAGGTAGGTAGTAAACATGGAGATTCTCCCCCATGTTACATACTCCACATTGACAGCACCTTCACTTTGAGTGAGATTGGGTGTGGACAGAGCCTCTGCCTCCGTTAAGACACCTGCATTATCTCAGCAAATACACAGAGGCATAAGAAGCAAAACTTGGGCAGCTTTTGCTACATTAGTAACTGATTTGTTGGCCAGAAAACTAAACTTTTTCTCACCTGTCTTCAGAGCCATCCAGGAGGTTCTGGAAAGGATCCTTACCCAAACGTGTCCCTGAAGTCAGTCATTACACCTAAGCATCTGTGGTTAATTGTGAGAAATCACGTCAGAGCCTTCTGAGGCTTATGACACAGACCCAACAATGGAGATTTCCAGCATTTGAATGCTTCTAGCATATCTAGGAAGACTAGTTCAGTAGGTCTAGTGTGGGGCCAGAGAGGCAGCCCTTCTAACAAACATTTCTAACATGTTCTGGTGCATGGACCACACTGTGGGTATAGTCTGAGGTTATAGAAGATGAGAGGGGCCCCTCAGCTCCTTCTTTGAGGTAAAGTTACCTCTAACCTAGCACACACAGTTGCTGACCCAGGAGATGGGGGTGGAGGGGCCAGAGCACTGGCATTTCACGGATTTCCACCAGTCAGTCTATTGATGCTTCCTCGAAGTGTGTGTCCTTAGATGGGGGTGGAGGGGCCAGAGCACTGGCATTTCACGGATTTCCACCAGTCTATTGATGCTTCCTCGAAGTGTGTGTCCTCGAAGTGTCTCAAAGGCTATTCTTCCTCTGCAGCTCCTCCTAGATGCTGGGGCCAAGGTGGAAGGCTCAGTGGAACATGGTGAGGAGAACTATTCCGAGACTCCCCTCCAGCTTGCAGCCGCTGTCGGTAAGTTCCCCGATCCCACCCAGGCCTGGTGTCTCCGCCACCCCGGCCCTTGATGTACCTATGATTATTTTTGCTTTATTCTCTTATAAAATCCCCTTCTCTGGGCTTGCAGGAAATTTTGAGCTGGTTAGTTTGCTGTTGGAGCGTGGTGCGGATCCCCTGATAGGAACCATGTACAGGAATGGAATTTCTACAACCCCCCAGGGTGATATGAACTCTTTCAGCCAGGCCGCAGCCCATGGACACAGGTAGGGTAGGATGGGCCAAGGCTTGTAGGTCCCAAGTGGTGTTTGTTAAAGATGCAGATTCCCAGGCCTGCCCCAGACCCATTCTCTCTCTGGCTGTGGGGCCCAGTGGGTTAGTGGGGGTAGGGTGGCCCAGACTCTGGGCCTGGCCAGTTCCCTCACTAGCTTTCTGCTAAGAGCCAATTCCCATATTGCACATGTGTGTAGGCATTCAGCCAATACGGTTCAGAGAACAGCACATCAGCTGCCATGATGTGAGAAGACTCTACATAAAAATAACAGAGCTCTCTTCATATTTGCCTACATCCCTTCCAAGCTTCCTTCAGAAACCCCATCAGATTTTATAACCCATCACCCCATAGAGAGCAGATTCACCATGCTAATGCTCAAAAGAGTAGAGTTCCAGAACCTTCTGGGTGTTAGCCCCAGGTTGCCCTCTAGAAAACATGGTCCATCTTACCCCACCATCTCCTTCATCCCCAAAGCCTGCCATCCATAAAACAACCACCTTGGAGTTAGCCTCTCATTCCTCATTCCTGGTCCTGAGTGAGCAGCCTCCCCTCTCATTCCTCATTCCTGGTCCTGAGTGAGCAGCCTCCCGATCCCCACTCTGCCCCTGCCCCAACACAGCCACGTCCATCTCTGAGTGTCTTCCTCTCTGGGTTTATGATTGACAGGAATGTGTTCCGCAAACTGCTCGCTCAGCCAGAGAAGGAGAAGAGCGATATCCTGTCCCTGGAAGAGATTCTGGCTGAGGGGACTGACCTGGCGGAAACAGCTCCGCCCCCCCTGTGTGCCAGCCGCAACAGCAAGGCCAAACTGAGGGCCCTGAGGGAAGCCATGTATCACAGCGCTGAGCATGGCTACGTGGATGTCACAATTGATATCAGGAGCATAGGTCAGTCTGGGCACCATTCACCACTAGACACAGTCTCTCTGTCTCTCTGTCTCTCTCTCTGTCTCTCTCTCTCTCTTTCTCTCTCTCTCTCTCTCTCTCTCTCTCTCTCTCTCACACACACACACACACACATACACACACACACACGCACACACACACACACGTCCCAGGGAACTTTTCCTACACTGTTTGGAACACTTCCCGGCCAGTCATTCACACCCTCCCCACAGACAGCAATACCCTGACTGCCCCAAGGCCCCATCCTTAGATCATCTTGCCCTGGTTCCCAAATCCTTGACCCTGGGTCAGGTACACAAATCACCTGGGGAGCTTGTCTGAATACAGATTACCAGGCCCTGCACCCAGAGGCTCTGCTGCTGAGGGTCTGGATGGATAAAGGCTGGAAATCTTTATATTTAACAATCACCCCAGGTGGTTCCCAGTGGTTAAGGAATCTCTATGTAGCGCACCAAACTCCATGACACAGGAGGTAATCCTCAGGGCAAGGACAAAGGCCTCCTTATCAGGGCTAACCATTGAACTGCAGGAGTCACTCAGGTGGCTTTCTTGAGTGAGCTAGCCCAGAGCTGTCTCTTCCCTGGGGAAGAGGGGATCGAGGCTAGCCTCTGTTACCCATCCGGTAGCTTTAGTCTGGGAAGGAAGGGCACAGTGGGACATGGAAATGGGTCCCTATCCTGGTAGGCTGAAAGCTGAATAGAGGCCACTGGGCCACTGTTCTGGAAAGAGCCTCTTTTAGGTTGGCTGTTCAGTATGTGGGTCATTTATGCCGTTGCCCTAAGAGCCTATTTTGCATGATTATGAAGCTCAGAGGCTCTGAATGATATAACTGCTATGAACAAGGTACAGTATGTTCTCTCTCCTCTCCTTCCTCACAACCTTACTGCAAATTACTGCAATCTACAGCTGGGGAGATTGTATTAAAGTAGGAATACCTGATGAGGTGCTGCAGGTAGAAATGTTTCACACAGGGGACCAGCAGCAGTTGCCTCCTACTTCTTTCCATTCAGATGAAACTATTCACCCTCACCAGCATTGGAGGCGGTGACGTCCATTGATGGTTTTCACCAGTTCTCCGTTCTCATCTGGTTGTGGATATGTCACCTAATCCCAGATAGAACTCTTTTTTTCTCTGAGCTTCCCTCTCCCAAGTTAGTAGAAGGGAAGGAGACAGTGAACTCAGAATCATATATGCATAAGGATGCATAATTAGGGACTGGAGAGATGGCTTAGCAGTTAAAAGCACTGGCTGCTCTTGCAGAAGACCCAGATTCCAATCCTAGCACCCACATGGCAGCTAACTGCTGTTGTAACTCCAGTTCCAGGGGATCTGACGCCCTCTTCTGACCTCTGCAGGCATTGCACGACACGGGTGCACTTACATACATGCAGGCAATATACTAATACACATAAAATAAAAAGAAACTGTTTTTTAAAAAAGAATGAATATACTAGTCTGCACAGTGATTGGTGTTGTAAAATGTAACTGCTGATGTGAATCGCATGTATAAACAGACACTCATCGTTCAGAGAATTGTTATGACCTTCAATTTCAACTTCTGCGAGTTTTGCCTGCCTGTGTTCATTGAAGGCCTGTCTCTGGGTCTCATAGCTTGGTAATGTCCTAGGAAAAGGCTGACTTCCAGATAAAAACACTCCTGCCCCTGTGGTTGTTTTCTGCCCTTCCCTTTCCTGCCCTCCCCTCCCACCTTGCCCGGTGCCTCTTCTCCATACAGGTGTCCCATGGACTCTGCACACCTGGCTGGAGTCACTGCGGATCGCCTTCCAGCAGCACCGCAGACCTCTCATCCAGTGCTTGCTCAAGGAATTTAAGACCATTCAGGAGGAGGAGTACACGGAAGAACTCATTACCCAAGGCCTGCCCCTGATGTTTGAGATCTTAAAAGCAAGCAAGGTATGAGGAGGAGTGGGGTAAGGCTGTTGTGGTTGCAGTAAAGAACAGGGTGGAGGTTCAAAGATCTGAATGGACCCTTGCTGGGGACCAGTGGTCCTTAGCATTGCTACATCACAGCCCCAGGTGGTGAGTGCAATCCCAGCACATCACTTGTGGGGCATCTGTTCTGCTGAGCACCTGCTTTATCCCATGGCACTTGAGCACAAGGGCAAGTTAGGGATCTTTTAACTCGTGAAACTTGCACATAAGCTGAGGGAATGATACCAACACATTGTACCCCAACAATATAGGGGATGCTTTAGAAAGCAGGGTTCCCTTGGCCCAGCCTAAAAGAAATGAGATTCAGGAGAGAGGAAGAGGAGCTTTCCCACGGTGCTGGCATTAGCCAGATCTGGAGGGACAATGGAATCAAGCAGGGAGGTGGAAAGGGTGCCATCTACAAGAGAGTGTGGACTCTGCTACATTTTCTGGAAAGCTAGGCCCTGGGGAATGCCTTTTCAGGTAGACGGCAAGCATGTCCATAGGCCACATGCATCTCAGGATAGCTATGAATGCAGTCCAACACATTTGCAGATGACAATGCCATATCACATGACATCTTGACAGTATCACTCTACCATCACCCCTGATGGTAGAGCCAGTCTGGCCTCCTGGGGGTTTGGCCCTACTGCCATCTCCATTCCCCACAATAGGAAATGCTACGTTCCCGCACCTCTTTCCAAATACCAGTCTGGTTCTTGGACCATTATGAGACTCAGTTTTTTTAAAATCTCTGTGGAGTCATCCATTTGGGAATCCCATAAAGATACCTCTGGCCCTATTGGGATGTGTAGCCCACTTGTTTGTTAATGGGGAATACTGAAGTTGAACAGCCTTGATGAACTTGTTCCCTGCCACTCATTGGAGTTAACAGCTAACGGCCATGGGGAACACTCCAGAACTGACCAAGGAGAACAGTGGGCACTGGAGAGTTTGTGCCATGAGCCTTTATATACCCCAAGGGCTCATATGGCACAGTGGTTGAGCACACGGACTCTCTTGCCAAACTATAGGGGTTCAAATCCTGGTTCTGCCTTATGGCCCTAGTCAAGCTATTTAACTTTCTTCTGCCTCAATTTCCCCATCTAGAAATGAGGAAGTAATCACACAAGCCTCTCTAGGTGGTGTGAATATAGAGTGGGAATTTCAGTGCCCTTCCAGTCCTCCTGATACCAAGGCTTTCTTTCAAGTTCATAATGAACTGTCTCAAAACATAAGTTCATTTTGTCACTCTGATTCCTCTTTACTCCTCGGTCCAGTGCAGGTTTTGTGGAGCTCTAGGGTCCACAGGGGACCTGTGAAGTCTCAGGGAAAATTGGTCTGTGAATTAGAGTATGTGGGTTCCCACCCTGAGCTGGGCTGATGGGCTGCGTACACTGAATGCAGAGGGGACACAGCTGCGTCCTCTACACAGCAGGGAGAATTCCTTAGCAATTCCACAGCAGGGAGAATTCCTTAGGAATTCCTTTCCTTAGCAAAGTCCATCTGCTTTCACAGCATCTCAGAGCACCTGATCCAGGGCCAGAGTAAGTCTCAGTAGGTATTCTGGTCTGTCCTCAGCCCAGCGTTCCTGGGTCCCTCTTGGCTCTGTTTGGTGTCCAGGCTACGAGACCACATGTGGGAGCAGGTGCATCCACATTAAGATAATGAGCCTCAGGGAGCCCAAGAAGAGTGAAGCCTGCTGGGAGCTTTTCAAAACCAAACACCTGCTCCCTCCTCCTCTAACTTAAAAATAAAGAAATGAATAAAAGGGCTTTTATCTAAAATTACCCAAGAAACCATCTCAGTGAAAAGCATTACTGGATATATTCCTGAGGTCTATGTTCTAGTGTTTTCTGGCTTGTCTGGTCTCAACTTTTTTTTTTTTTTTTCAGAAATCCTAGAATTTACTGAGGCACCCTGGGCTGTCTGCCTGCCTGCCTGTCTGTTTGTTTAAGAAATTCACTTTGAAGTATGACCTACACATAGAAAAATTACCAGATTATGAGCTTAGAGCCTAATGAATTTCTATCGACTGAACAAAGAATAATCAACACCCAGATCACAAAACACTCCAAGTACCCCATCCTCTGTATCCCCAGGGCCACCCAAAGGGCCATCCCTCTTCTGACTTCTTTATCTTGTCTGGTGGTTTGTTTGATTATCATAGCTCAGGGTGTGGGGATCCTTCAACCAACAGTGGACAGGTAGGGTTGGTCATGGATGGGAAGAAGTGAAGGTCACCCACAGCTCTAACAGCAGCAGCTGAGAGGCAGGAAGAAGGATGTGCCTCTACCGGGTGTGGACCGGTACCTGCTCCCTGGCAGCTGTGCTGCCCATTCAGGACAGGTGAGCCAGAGACAAGACAGGCAGCTTCTTGACTGGACAGGGCAGTCTAGAAAGGATGGTACAGCCAGGAGGAAGGAAGGCGAGGGAAATGATTTGCTTTTACAGGCGGTTTCATGGCAATTCCTACTCGTGCAATGTGGTGTTCAACATCACATAGACTAACAACAGAAGAAACAGAGATAGTTAAGCGAGGATGCAGTGTGCGGTCAAACATTCCCTAAGCACACATTTCCATCGGTAGCTTCACTGAAATAGCTCTTTGTATCTTTTTCTTGCATTATAGTTGAATTTGTTCTGTTTACCATTGAATTCCAAGAGTTCTTTGTATACACTAAAATGTGGTGTTCAACATCACATAGACTAACAACAGAAGAAACAGAGATAGTTAAGCGAGGATGCAGTGTGCGGTCAAACATTCCCTAAGCACACATTTCCATCGGTAGCTTCACTGAAATAGCTCTTTGTATCTTTTTCTTGCATTATAGTTGAATTTGTTCTGTTTACCATTGAATTCCAAGAGTTCTTTGTATACACTAAGTACTAGTCCTTTGTCAGCTGTATGGTTTGCATATATTTTCTCCCCCCTCTTTTATCTTTTGTCATCCTGGTGCTGGTATTTATCTCTGTTTACCATTGAATTCCAAGAGTTCTTTGTATACACTAAGTACTAGTCCTTTGTCAGCTGTATGGTTTGCATATATTTTCTCCCCCCTCTATAACTTGTCTTTTATCTTTTGTCATCCTGGTGCTGGTATTTATTGACAACAGAAGGGTGACTGCCAGCTCAGGTAGAAGTCCAGGCCTCTCATTCGGCTCCGTGGACACCCGCAGAAGAGGCTCCCCAGTGATGGGTGGGTAGGCACGCCGGCACCCCATGTGGCTTGATCTTACACACCTCAGAGAAGAGTAGGAAGGACACTGCTCTGACAACAGAAGGGTGACTGCCAGCTCAGGTAGAAGTCCAGGCCTCTCATTCGACTCCGTGGACACCTGCAGAAGAGGCTCCCCAGTGATGGGTGGGTAGGCACGCCGGCACCCCGTGTGGCTTGATCTTACACACCTCAGAGAAGAGTAGGAAGGGAGCCTCGTTAGCTCTGTGGGGGACTGGAACTCCAACCACCATGTGACAACAGAAGGGTGACTGCCAGCTCAGGTAGAAGTCCAGGCCTCTCATTCGACTCCGTGGACACCTGCAGAAGAGGCTCCCCAGTGATGGGTGGGTAGGCACGCCGGCACCCCGTGTGGCTTGATCTTACACACCTCAGAGAAGAGTAGGAAGGGAGCCTCGTTAGCTCTGTGGGGGACTGGAACTCCAACCACCATGTGGTTTTCACTGGCACCTGGGGGTGGCTCATTGCTGTGGGGATGAAAGTCCCAGCTTCCTATTTGACCTTCCATGGCACCACTTCAGTGGGGGTTAGAGTGCTTGAAGCCTGGTGAAGGAGGAGTCTGGGCTCCCCACTTGACTTCTGCTGACAAGGTAGAACATCTTTTCCGTGTTGTGTTGGCTGGAACAGAACAGATATTGTCTAAAAGAGGCCAGCTGTTTCCTTTGCTGACCCACTGGATAAAAGTTCTAACTGTGGCATTCTTTTCCTGCGCCCACCCATTGGCATTTCTGAGTTGTGGCTTCACCAAGAATGGGATGTCTGCAGCAAAAGAGGTCAGTGACCTCACCACTGCGTAGCCCATCCTGTCCCTGGGTCCCCAGCTGCCCAGCCTTCTCTCCAGCTCTCAGTCATCTTAGGTTTCTTTGATATTCACCATCTAGGTTCTCAGTTGATTTCAGGTCTTAGTCCATGTTCTGTTGCTGTAACAGAATATCTGAAAAAGAAGTGGTTTATAAAGGAGAGAAGTTTATTTTGTACCATCACCTGTCTAGAGGTGGGACGTGCAAGGGGGCGGGGCTAGCTGTCTTCTTAGATGAGCTGGCAGAAGAGAGGGGTAGCGCAGATGGCCTTGCTTTCTAAATACCTGCTCTCACAATAAGTAATCAGGTCCAGGGGGACTGCACCCATCCTTCCTAACAACCTTACCACCTCTTCAAGATCTGTCACCCCTCAGCATCATGACGTTGCGAACCAAATTTCAGCATGCCTTTCAGAGGCAACAAAGTACATTGAACCCACAGCCCTGTAGTATGAGGAATAAGAAGGGCGTGTCTCTTCCAGTTCCCACAAACAGGAATAACAAGGATTGTTTTAATTTAAAAAGTCAGACTTCTACCCTTTGCCATGAGACTTACTAGAGGCCTGTACACAGTGTTTTAGAAATAAATCTTTCTTTTACGATAATAAAAACAAATCATTCGGCTGCTATGTTCCATTATCTTTTTCCTGAAAGCATCTGGGCTCTGACACCCTCAAAGAAGCAGGTGTGTGTCAAAGTCCACAGTTAGAATAGCCGGCAGCATTACCAGAAGCCAAAAGGTCCACTGAAGCAAATAGGAAATAAATAAATAAAAGTAATAAGCTGGACCGCAAAGCCCCACTAAGGAGATTCAGGATCAAATCTTGAAAGCATCAGATACCTCCAGAAGTTACTAGAGATGTTCCCACTCCCACAGAGCATGGCTCTCAAACCATCTAAGTGAAAAACCTTGAAAATGAGACTCACTGTAAACACCATTTTCTAGAATTGCTTAATTTATCAACTTCAGAGAAAACACTGAAGCAGGACAAGTCTGTGTTTAGCGGTCCTCCCCTGCCCTCACCATCCATCCATCAAACCGTGGTTAGGCTTGTCTGTTCCATCTTCTCGTCGCCTTTCCTCTCTCCCACCCCTCATGCAGCCATCACAGCTCCAGCCTCTCTCCTTCCCCTGTGTCTCAGCCTCTGCTGAGGAAGCGACCTGCACCAGGCACTTAAACCAGGACATGGATTTAATGATAATAATCCCCAACATTACTGAGCACTCCTGCATGCCAGGGGCCATTCTAGGCCTTCTTTCCCACACACAAGGACCCCTGGAGGGAGAGAGTTGTGTTATTAATTGTCTCAGTTTGAGATGATGAACCTGAGGTGCATTTGGGGGAATCCAGCAGAGGCAGGATCCTGATCTAGGCAACCTGGCTCCAAAGCTAGTGCTTTCGACTGTGAAGGCACCCTGTCACTAGGCTCCCCCTTGGGTTAGCCTGCAGTGCACGGTTCACTGTGAAATGCTAGTTTTGTCTTCTTGAATGACAAAAGAAGACTTTGGTATGTAGCCATGAGCATTTTTTCCATGGGAAGGTCACCCTGCTGAAGTCATGGCCCATAGAGACTGCCTTGGAAGGCACCTTGACGGTCACCTACCCAGTGATCCCCCCAACCCTGGCCAAGGTGCACACTGGAAAAAGTACTACTTAAAGAAGGCTTGTGGTGCAGCACAGGTGGCCGGTGGCACATGCCTATTATTCCAGCACTGGGGAAGCTGAGGCAGGAGGATCCTGAGTTCAAGACTATCTTAAGCTATATATCAAGGTCCTATCTCAAAATAAACAAAAGAAGAAACAGAGAGATTAGAAAGAAAGCACTGGGTTGGCGATGTAGCTCAGTGCTAGAGTTCCTGTTTAGCATATAAGATCCTGGGCTCTATCACCAGCACCACAAAAAAAGATTTAAAAAAATAACCATAAATAGGACTGGGGGAGATGGCTCAATGAGTAAGATACTTGCCACTAAGTTCGGGTCCCTAGCACCCACATTAAAAGCCTGGCATGGCAACATGCATCTATAATCTGAACACTGAAGAAGAGACAGGCAGACCCCTGAGGCTCGCTGGTCAGTCAGCCTAGCTAAATGGAGAGTTCTAGGCCAGTGAGGGACCCTGTCTTAAAAAGCAAGGTAGGTGTCCCAAAGAATGACACTCAAGGTTTATCTCTGGCTTCTACATCATACACACATACATGCATGTCACACATGCACTTGCACATGCACATGCACATGCACACAGAAATAAAACAAAGGATCAAGTACATAAAAACACAATCTAGGGGGCTGGAGAAATGGCTCAGTGGTTAAGAGCACATACTGCTATTGTAGAGCACCTCAGTTTGGTTCCCAGCACCCACACTGAGCAGTTCACAGTCACCTGTACCTCCAGTTCCAGGAGATCCAGCACCCTCTTTGGAGTCCTTGAGCACCTGCATTCACCTGTGTACATACCCACACACAGACATACACATATATACATATAATTAAAATAAGATGAATCTCGCCCAGCATAATGGCTCATACCTTTAATTCCAGTCCTCAGGAGGCAGAAGCAGGTGGATCTCTGTGAGTTCAAGGTCAGCCGGTCTATATAGCAAATTCCAGGACAGCCAGTGCTATATAGTGAGACCCTGTCTCAAAAATCAAAAAAGTACAGTATAAACAGTTGTTGACTTCATCTTTTAGATTAGATCAACTTCCTTTCCTTTACATGTATTTGGAAAGGGTTGCTTATATTACTACCATAAAAGGAAAGCCCTCAGCTGGATGTGGTGGCACATGCCTTTAATCCCAGCACTCAGGAGGCAGAGGCAGGAGGATCTCTGTGAGATCAAGGCCAGCCTGGTCTACATAGGGAGTTCCAGGTCAGCTGGGGCTACAGGGAGACCACCTTGTCTCAAGGTCTAGGCAGCCTGGCTCCATGCCTGGAAAACACCTGCCTCCACCCCCCTACCACTTCCTGAGTATATTGCTATGCAGCTCCTGGTCCTCTGTGATCACACTGAGTGACCAGGTTTTAGGTCAAAGGAGGCAAATTCTCAGGCCACAGCCTGCTGTAACCCCATCCAGAGCTGTGGGACATGAAACCGGTGGTTCTGAAACATAGCAGAGTATCAGTAGCACCAGGTAACATGTAACACCAGGCAACCTGTGACTGTCCGGCTTCCTGAGCTTCACCCATGAAGGAAAGGCTAAGAGTCCAGGATTTACATTCCTAACAGGCTCCCAGGGGATGCTAGTGCTGCTGATGAAGGGAAACGTTTTGCTAAGCCCTGTGTGCAAGGGTGAGGCGGCAGTCACTGGCGTGATTGCCAAGGGGGAGGAGCACTTACCACTCATTCTTTATAAAATATCAGTACCATCCTTGCGAGTAGAACACACAGTCCCTTCTTCCTTCCACTCTAATGACATCTCTGTGAATCAATCAGAAGTGACACTGTGCCTTCTGTGATCTGTCTGCTTCAATAGAAAGGGTCTGGGCTTTCTTTTCAAGTGCAGAACTGTGTCCTTCTTCCTTAAGAGTGAAACAGTGAATTAAGTCTGAGAACAGCTTGAATCATTGACATCATCATGGTCCCAAGCCCATCTTTTAAAAAAGCAAAATAGAATTTATTATTTTATTACAAAAGCAATATTTGTTCATTGTAAAAAATTTAAAAATCATGATTTCACTCAAAGGTAACTGTTCTATTCTAGACCGTTTCCGTCTTTCAGTTCCAAAAAGACATGGTACAAAATGTGCTGTCATCTACTTTCCTTATGTAATGTTTTATTGTGCTAGTCAGCTTTCTGTTGCTGAAACAAAATGCATGAGATAATAAACTTAAACAAGGAAAGGTTTGTTTTGGCTCACAGTTTTGGAGTTTCAGTCCGTGGTCAGTTGGCCCCATTGCTATTAGGATAGAAGTGAGGCGGCATGTGAGGGCAGAAGCATGTGGTGGAGGCAGATGGGAAGCAAAGAGAAAAATAGCCAAAGAGACCAAAGTCTCATAATCCCCTTCAGGGACACTCCATCAGGGAGCTAAGATTTTCTTCAAGGTCTCATTAAGGTTCCAGCACCTCCCTGTAACACCATGAAGGAAGGACCATGTTGCTAACACATGGACCCACGGAGATACAGTCAAACGACAGCAGTTGTAAATGCTTTTCTAGCCTAGGTTTTAGCAGAATGCAACAGCAGGCTGGCCTCCCAGCCTGCACACCAGTGCTCGGACGGAGCCGAACAGAAAGGGCTCTAACTTGGAGAGAACCAAAACACAGAGGATGAAGGTCACTCAGAGCAGGTTCCTTCCACCCTGAGCAACCACAGGCAGCTGGAGTTTGGAATCACAGAAACTTCTTCCTCCATATTTATTTTTATTTTTCTTGAGAAGTGATTCAACTAATGACTCCCAGATCCAGAAATGCCTGTGCCCAGAATCCAATGCCTAACAAAGCTGAATCAGCTTTTGTCTTGTTCGTGTGGGCCACAGTCACAGGACCAAAAATGCTTCCTGCTGCCAGGGCAAAATTATCAACTGTTCCCAGAATTTGAGAGTATTGATAAAGGTGGATTGGGGGTAAAGGCTTTCTATTCATGAGCTACAAAAGCCTGATTTCACATGGCTAGAAAATAATTCAGGCAAGATGGAAGAATGTCTATGAATTTCTAAAGTGCTCAGCAGTGAACTGGCTAGAAATAGACAGTGAACTCACAGAGCAGGTCAGTCCAGGGATGGCAAGGGCATGTATGCTCCAGGGGGACTTGGATGACAAGCTGGCTTGGCCCACCCACAGTCCCCCATGACCAGCTCCTCTTTTTCCTCCACAGAATGAGGTAATCAGCCAGCAGTTATGTGTCATCTTCACTCACTGTTATGGTCCCTACCCCATCCCCAAGCTCACGGAGATCAAGAGGAAACAGACCTCACGCCTGGGTGAGTGGTGGCCCAGGTATATGCGGGTGATAGCTGTGGGATGAGGAATGGGAAGGAAGGAAAAGCCAGAAACAAATAAAGGGTCAGAGTTTTGGAAGGTAAACGAGAGACAGGTATAGGAAAAGCCAGGCCCAAGAGATGAGAGCTCCCGCAGTAGGTGGTGAATCTCTTTGGACAAGGAACCTGTCTAGTGCCTCACCTATAGGACCCTCAGTCACCCGCAGCAGGGTCAGCTAAGACTCCATGGATCTCCCATGCAGAGGAGATTCTGATAGACAGCCCCACTGTCCATGGTGGCTGTGAGTTAGTTTTAATTGTCAACTTGACACAATGGAGACTCACCTAGGAAGAGAGTGCCAGTGAAGGATTGTCTAGATTAGACTGGCCTGTGGGCATGTCTATGGGGAAGTGTCTTGATTCCGTGATTGGTGTGGGAAGATCTAACCTAAACGTGGGTGGCACCATTCCCTAGGTTTGTATAAAATGAGAGAGTGAGCTGAGCACAAGCATATGTGCCTTCATTCTCTCTCTGCTCATGACTAGCTGCAACCTGACTTCCCCAAAGCGATGGGCTGTAACCTAGAGTTGAGACCTAAAGTAAACCCTTTCTCCCCTAAGTTGCTTTGGTTAGGGTATTTTATCACAGCAACAGAAATAAAGCTTAATACAGGAGCGCTTCCCACAAAGTCTTCCTCATCAGTGGGGAGGAAAAAGCAGGAGATGCTAATGAGCCAGCAGTGTGCCTAATACAAGTCCTTCTATAGGAAAGGAAGAGAAGGGAACAGTGTCTGCCCCCACCATGCACACCCATAAAAACTAGAATAGGGGAACTGGAGAGATGACTCAGCAGTTAAGAGCACTGGCTGCTCTTCCAGAGGACCCGGGCTCAATTCCCAGTACGCACATGGTAACGAACAACTGTCTGTAACTCTGGTTCCAGGGAATCTGACACCCTCTTCTCACCTCCATGGGCATTGCACGACACAGATGCACTCACATACATGCAGACAGTACACTCATGCAGACAGTACACTCATACATATAAAATGAAAATAATAAAATATTTTTTATAAAACACACAAGAGCAGGACATACCTGAGCAGGGCAGGCTGGGTGCTCTGAAGTCCTGTGGGAACAATTAATCACTTGATACTCTTTGAACACTTGCATTGAGCCAGCTCCAGCCAGGCACCTGGCCTCCATCTCAAGTAGCCCCAGATATGCCAGGAGGCAAGCATGGCCTGTCCCACTCTGAGTATGAGTAAAGGATAGGGCTGAGACTTGAAACCCAGATCTGCTAAGACAGTAATTCCTCACTGTGCAGGGCCAGCTCCGAGATGGGAGCTGTAGCACCAGCTCGTCCAGAGGATCTGGGGCTGCTGCAGGCAGAGCAGAGGGGAAGGAAATGGGAAACAGAGACAGTCCCAAATTTATAGGAAAAAGAATCCTTCATTGTTAATTTTTTATCACTCCCCAGACAGCAGGACGTCAGGCTTCTGCAATAGCAGGCTCAGGTTCCCCACCTCAAGACAGCCAGGCATTTTTCCATCGTCAATAACATCCAACATCTGGGTCCTTATGAGACCCCTTGTTAGCATGAATATTTTCAAGGTTTCAAAGGCATGGTATAAACTGTTTTCTGTAGGAAGGGAACATTTGAATTTGTTGAAATTTCTCTCACCAGCCGTGAAAGGGCCCTGGTTTTTCAAGCTACAGGTCAGAATTTCAAGGCTAGCACCAAGAGGAAAGACGGCAGGGGTCTTAATTAAAGAGAGGCGAGAAAGCTGCAGGAGTCCCGTCACAAGTGGTCTTGTTAAGAGTTTGGACTTGGGGGATGGAGAGATGGCTCAACAGTTAAGAGCACTGGCTGATCTTGCAGAGGACTCAGGTTCAGTTCCCCAAACACACATTGTGGCTAACAACCATCCTTAACTTCAGTTCCACAAGACATAACATCCTCTTCTGGTTAAGAACACTGGCTGTTCTTGTAGAAGACCCAGGTTTGAATCCAAGCACCCACATGGCAGCTAACAACTTTCTATAACTCCAGTTCCAGGGGATCTGATGCCCTCCACAGGTATTGTATGCACAGGTGCACTTACATACAGGAAGGCAAAACACTCATAGACTTAAAATAAAAAAGTAAATCAGGGCCTGAAAAATGGCTCATTGGTTAAGAACACTGACTGCTCTTGCAGAGGACCCGGGTTCGGTTCTCAGCACCCACATGGCAGCTAACAATCATCCATAACTAGTTCCAAGAGATCCGACACCCTCTTCTGACCTCCATGGGCGCACTTACATACATGCAGGCAATACTCTCATGCACATAAAATTAAAAATATAATAAATAAAATATTTTTGAAAAATAAGTAAATCAAAAACCATTTTTAAAGAAGTTTGAGATCTCCTGAGAGCTATCGAAAGGTTTGCTCAAGAATGTGGGTGTCTATACCCCAAGGAGCAGTCTGAAAGGCCAGCCCCAGGTGGGGCAACTCAAGTCAGCTGGCAGGCAGGTGGCCTAGCACAAGACTCAGCAGAGATTAGAGCCACCTTGTTCTTGCTGGGTAGAGACTGACCAGGAATAGGGGCAAGAGAGTGTGACTATCCCTAGCAGGGAAGAAGTACTGGGCTGGCCACAACTGCCACCCGCAAGGGCCTCAAGTCTCCATGACTAAAATAGCAGGTGACCTGGAGAAGCCTTGTGTTTGATGAGTCAGGCCATAGAATCAAAATGTCTGACTTCAGACCCTGGCTTGCAAGTCACTGTGATGTCTACATGCCTCAGTTTCCTCTACTGCACAGTGGGGAACATGTGATCCCCATGTGGGCCTGACATGTTGTGAATCAGACTCAGTAAGTACATATTAGCTAAGTTGTCTTTGTTATCAGGAGAGATGCGGGCAGAGGGTGCTGGCTTCTTTGTCACTTATGCTGGGAGAGAAGGACCTGGAGCTCAGTGGCAAGTGGCATCTGAGCTTCTAAACCACTTCTAGCAGGCAAGGGAAAACTGAGCCCAGAGAAGGAGGCCCAAGAGTGGGTGAGTGGCCGGCACAGACATGCCTTTCATCCTCCAGAGGCTCTGAGCTCTGCCTGGAGATGTGTCTGCTGTGGAGAAAGCTGCTGTGTTTTCTTCTTATTGCTGGTCTCCTCTATCTTTGTGTGTGTTAATGAGTACGAGTTTAGGTGTCAGAGGACCAATCTCAAATGTCTGTCAGTCCTCACCTTCCACTTTGGGGCCATCTCTCCTGTTTGCTACTGTGTGCACCAGGCTAGCTCCCCACAAGGTTCAAGGACTCTCCTGTCTCCACCTCCCATCTCCTTGTAGCACTACCATGTCCAGCTTTGCAGGGGGTCCTGGGGATTGAACGCAGGTCCTCACACTTGCATGGCAAGCACTTTCACCCACTGAGCCATCTCCCCAGCCAAGAGCTGCTTCTAACCTCAGGTCAGTGATGAGCATCTCCTGTGATGAGATGGAGGGCAGTGACACATCTGCCCTATGATGAGTACCAGCTCTTGTGTCACCCGTGAGCAGTAGATCACCATGTGTCTGTGTCGGCTTCCATACCTTCCACCACAGGAAGCACCTCGCCCGCATTTCCACTAATGCTCCTTTCCTTCTTCCTCTTGTAGATCCTCATTTTCTTAACAATAAAGAAATGTCCGATGTGACCTTTCTGGTAGAAGGAAGGCCGTTTTATGCTCACAAAGTGCTGTTATTCACAGCCTCTCCCAGGTATGTACAGTTGACCTTGCATGTGGCTGGATCATGTCTGTATCTGTTGCTAATGCTGCTTTTTTTCTTTTTTGAGATAGGGTCTCATGTCCTTGAACTCATTATGTAGTGAAGCTGGCCTTGAACTCCTGATCCTCCTGCTTCTACCTCCCCAGTGCTGGGATCACAGTCATGTGCCACCACACCCAATTTATTTTATACTGGGGATCAAACCCAAGGCCTCATGCATGAGAGGCTAGCACTCTACCAACCAAGATACATGCGTAACCCATATTACATTTTTTTTTTAATCTTTTTGAGACAGAGTCTCCTTGTAGCCCCAGCTGGCCAGGAACTTGCTATGTAGACCAGGCTGGCCTCAAACTCACAGAGATCTGCCGGCTTCTGCCTTCTGAGTGCTGGGATTTAAAAGTGTGCCCACCACACCTGGCTTCATATTCCTTTTCTTTGAAGTTCAATGTTGGTGCTATCTTCACTGGGCTAACAGAGCATCTTCTTGAAATCAAGGATCTCAAAGTACAGGGTACCTCTTTTTGCAACCTAGAACAAGGTACCCTCTTGTCTTGGCAGATGTAGAGGTCTGTGAGGAGACACCCTTATACAGTGGACAGCTTGAGACTCCTTATGTGGCAGTCTGAAGAAGCCCATTCTCCAAGTGTCAGGGGACAGATTTGACATAAGCCACCAAGATGCAAGGTTCCTGTCCTTCCCTTCCCTTAACTGTACAGTTAACCAATGAGAATATCATGCAGAAAGACTGTACTGGGACACAGCCCAGATGAACAGCACATTCTTAGCATGTATGAGGCCTAGATTCTATCCACAGCATGAGAGGGAGAGAAGGAAGGAGGGAGGGAGGGTAGCAGAGAGTGAGGGAAGGTAGCAGAGAGGGAGGGAAGAGGTGAAGAAGGTCCCATCCTCCCTGCTCTCTGCTGCTGACTCCTGTGATGGGGACACCATGCAGAGCCACAGTATCCAGCTCCCCACAGGGAGCAGTGAAGCCAGGCAAAGGAGAGACAGGCCACTGGGAGGGGAGTAGAGGGCCCCTAAGTGGGGTCAGGCCCTAGCAATGCAGACAGAGAAGCCCTTCCAGAAATTTTCTCAGGGAATGGTGACTCGTAAGCACCTGACATCTGCAGTGCCCCTGTGCCAAAACCAAAGGCACTTGCTTTGCCACCACAGAAAAACACACCCTCCTGAGTGATTCTTAGTTGGTGGCACCAGACTGGCAGTTCCACGCTGTGCTGGTGTCAAGGTCTCAGTTTTCCTCAAGGTACTGTGGTCCCAGAGGTATCAGCACTAGGGGAAACTGCAGTGAGAGGAAACATGACCTCCTTGTTTCGTCTGGGGCTCTTCTATAAACCTGTCATCTTTTTTTTTTTTTTTTTTTTTTTTTTTTTTTTTTGGTCTTTTTGAGACAGGGTCTCCCCGTGGCCCCAGTTGGCTTAGAACTCGCGGAGATCTGCCTGCCTCTAACTCCCGAGAGATCACTATGTAGACCAGGCTGGGCTTGAACTCTCAGAGATCTGCCTGCCTCTGCCTCCTGAGTGCTGGGACTAAAGGCGTGTGCTACCACGCCCAGCCACGTCCAGCTTAACCTGTCATCTTTTTAAAGTGAAAAGTTTTAAAAGAGCAACACAACTTAGCTTATTCACTTTAAAACCTCGTCCTCTGGGTGTGTCACTGAATACTGCTGGGGTCCCTGCCCTCCAGGGGCTTTGCCTCTAAAGCGTAAGATGGTCAAGCACCCCTGGAGAGACCCTCCCCCTGTTAGCAAGTGTGGGCTAAATGCCTGAGGTATTATGTCACACAAAAACAGAAGCCACAGAAACCCCTTTTCCCCCAGGGAGCAAACTTGTATGGCAGGAGTGAGAAACGGGTAACAGTTCCCTGAGTACCAGAGCCAGGGCCTGTGCTCAGGACAGGCACCATGCAGAGACAGCCCCATGTTGGTGCTGGAAAGTGCATGGGGCCTTAAAAGGTGAGCATCCCTCCGGGTGGCCAGTTTGGGAAAGGAGTTCCAAGCACTGAGTTTAGCTTTAAATGAAGACACTGATGGCTATATATCTTTGCTGTGTTTCAGAGTCAGGGTGCAGGGATTTCTGTCATGAAGAGACCCAAGTCTGGGCAGGCTGCAGGGGCAGGGGCAAGTCTTTTGATCTCCCTTGTGTGTCTCATTCAGGTTCAAGGCGCTCCTCTCCAGCAAGCCAACAAATGACAGCACCTGCATAGAAATCGGCTACGTGAAGTACCCCATCTTCCAGGTGAGCCCTGGGGTAGCCTTCAGCCCTCAGCCTGGGGCCTAATACCTGGGATGCTCCTGCACAGAGAGCTGCCAGTCACCTGTGCTCCAGGCTCACTTACTCTGTGCCTCATGTCCTTCAACCCTACAGCAGTCACAGAGGCCCAGTGCCCACTGGCCTCAACTCTGGGCTGGAAGAAGGGGACTCAAGGGTAAGGGACATCCTCTCCCAAAGACTCATAGTCTAGAGAGTAGCTGAGTCACTAGTCAGCTACAGTATTCTGTGGGGGGAGGCAGGGTAATGGAGAAGACTTTTTTTCACAGCCACAGTGCAGTAGCAGCTCAGACCAAGGACATGGGGACAGGGTTGGGAACTGAAATATCAAAGGCCAAGGAAATGCCTGGGAGCCAAAGGAAGGCTTCAGGCCCAAGAAGGGGGCTAGAACATTCGAAGCAGAGAGAAGATCATGTGTAAAGAACTTAAATGATTTATCCAAGTTCCTGACCTGTTAGAAATAGAGCAGGGTTTCAACCCAGTTCAAATTTGTCTCATAGTAAAGCTCGGGAACTTGGTTCTTGGCCGTAATAAAAATCATACTAGAGAGGAGGCAGAGAGATGGCTCAGCAGTGAAGAGCACTGACTGGTCTTGTAGAGGACCCGGGCTTTGATTCCCAGCACCCACATGGCAGCTAACAACTGTCAGTAACTCCAGTTCCAGGGGAATCTAACACCTTCTTCTGATTCTGTGGGCATTGCACGACACAGGTGCACTTACACACATGCAGGCAATACACTTATACACATAAAATAAAAATAATAAAATATTTTTTAAAATCATGCTAAAGAGCACAGCTCCCATTCCCTCAGCCTCGCTGCACAGTGTAATTGCCTGAGAAGCTTTGAAATATCCCCCCTGAATGTCCAGTCTGTACATCAGACCCATGAAGTCAGAATCTCAGGATGTGCAGGGCCCAGCCTTGGCCTTCTCACATCCCTTCTCCCATCATGCCACCAGGGCTGGGAAACAGCACCATGGTTACAGCATCTTCTGCACATTCGCAGGTATCTGAATCCCACAGAGATGGCTAGGATGCTTGTTAAAACATAGAAAACATGTTGGATGCAGACTCCCAGGGTTCTCGCCCCCTAGAGCCTGACTCTATAGACACAAGAATTCTCATTTCCAGCATGAGCCCCTTAGTGCTGATGCTGCTGGGCCCAGGGGTCCCACTCAGAGGGCTGCTACTGCCCACTGTGCTCTTCGATTCTCCCAACTCCCCTCCCAGGAACTCTGAAAGGAGTTGGCCAGAGTTCCCACAGCTGCTGCTAGCAGAGCTGAGGGTCAACCCGAACCTAGTTCTTTTGTTTCCTTCCTTCCATGAGAACATGGACCCTCCCTGAAGTCACTAGCTGTAGAAAGCCTCGCAGGACCTGTTAGAGTTGGTGTATTAGCTGAAGGCAGAAAAAAGGAGTGTGTGTATGTGTGTGCACACACCTCTAAGAAGCGTCCAAAGGCCTCACACTCGGTAAATTAATGTTTGCCCAGTGGACTTGCTGTCAGAGCCCTGCATGGGAAAGGCCAGCCTCAGAGGGATCCCCAGGCCTGTAATTGCTTCCGACAAGGAAGGTTTGCTGGCCACATTAGCCTCAAGTTCCTGTAATGGGAAGGGAAGATTTATCAGGCCCTGAAGACCTATCTGTGTGCCTGCCCCTTCCCCATAAAAGAAGAAAAGCCTCATTTGTGGCTTGAAATAGGCCAAGGAAGGATCAATTCGACCCACAAGGAGGCTCCCAAGGGGCCTGTGCACTTCATGTGTGTTCTGGGCAGAAGAATTTTTAGTAATTGATACTGTGCTGCATTTCCTCCCTCACACGTTTAACATCACATGTTTGCAAGAGCCAACCCACTGAGGCCGCACCTGGAGCTGGGCTCCACCAGGCTGTGAATGCCATTCAAGTTGTCTCACATGGGTTGGCAGTGGCCAAGAAAAACAGCTCCGTCTTGCAGGCCTTCGATCTAATGAGAGCTCGTGTTACCCACTTAGAGAAAAACACTTGTACTAGCAGAATATGGACGGAGCCTGAGATGGCCCAATTTAAGTTCCACTAGCCCCAGGATCTCCCCCCGCCTCCCAATGCAGCAATTTCAGGCCGTGGCTCAACCTTGAATAAATGAGACAACATGATAGAAATGTGCTTTGTAAAGAAAGAGCCCATGTTGGGGGTGGATATTACGGGGGTGCTTGTTATTATTATTGGTTTGACCTTATAACAGAGGTGCTAGAAAAGTAAATTGATTTTAATAAAGCCAATAGCTCAGCATTGGTGACAGTATTTCCCATGCTTATAACTCCCCATGGTAGGAGGGGAAGGGCGCCAGTGCCATGTTTTTCCCAAGGCCTGAATGACATCAGTGCCTCTTCAGCAGGCACGTGGTGGTCTCGGAAACCTCAAGTCGGTACAGAGAGACCCAGACATAGGAGATATGTTTATGTGAAAAATGTTCATGTGAGCCAGACATGTTGGTGTGTGCCTACAGTCTCAGCACTTGAAAGACTGAGACAGGAGGATTGCCATGAATTCCAGGCCAGCCTGGGCTAAAATAGTGAATTCTAGGACAACATGAGCTACCAAATGAGACCCTATATCCAAATAATAGTAATAAAATAAAGTGTTTGTGTGCCAGGCACTGTGCTAAGCATGGGAATACATGCTGACCGAGGGATCTATAATCTCAGGCACCTGTGAGGAAGGACACAGTTGTACACAGACACTGCCTGAAACAAGAGACCTGAGCTCCCCAGTTCAGGGTTCACTGAGCTGGACCCCAGAGAACAGCCAGCTTCAGCTGGTAGAGAAGGTCATGTCCAGGTAAAAGGAATAATGTGGGCAGAGCCTGGAGAACACAGGGAGGTTTTGCTAGAAGCAAGTGGAGGGGAAGAGGGGGTGGGCAGTGCACAGAGCACTGATATGCTCGACGTAGTGGCATACACCTGTAATCCCAGCACCTGGTAGGTGGAGGCAAGTGGAGCATGAGTTAGAGGCCAGCCTGGGATACATAGAAAGTTTCTGGTTACAAAGTGAGATCTTTCTCAAACAAGCAAACAAACAAAAAGCAGGTCCTATCAAGAACCAGCGTCTGTGAAATGTCCAGACTGGTTAATTCCATGGTATATCCAGGCCAGCTGTTGAGGGGACAGAAGGATCTGATAATCGGTAGTTTCTTTGGGAATGTGAGGAATGTTCCAGAATTCTCCCATGGCAGTGGTTGTACAACATTGTGACTCTGCTAAACACCATGGTACCAAACATTTTAAATAGTTTTGTTGTTGTTCTACGAATATATCTCCATCAAGCTTTGCTCAATATTTTTCTAAAGCCATCATTACTTTAACCACTCACAGACGAAAAGTAGATTGAGAATAATTACAAATCGTCTCCAGTGGCCTAGTGAGAAAGGGTGGCATGTGGTGGAAGCAGATGAAGTTTTCAACCTCAGAGAACATTTGGGAGCTCACATTTACTGGGCACTTTCCTGGGCCTGTTCCAAATGGTAACTCACTAAACCCTCCCTTACCCCATGTAACCAACAACATTCCCACTTCACCAGTGAAACTAAGGCAGGTCACCTCCAAATTCCTAGATCTTAACTGCTGGTCTCAGATAGTCAGAACCCAAAGGGACCACAGCATGGCACACAATCCAAGATCCTCCATCTATAGGTTACCCCAATATGGGATATAACCAGTCTGCAGATTTGCCCAGGCACCAGGCAGGGAAAGCCATTCATCAGGCAAGCAGGTGGAAGGTAGTTGGAAGTGGAGGGACTGGAACAAACTGGAAAGAGCATATGCCACCCACAAAGGAGTACTTGGTTGTCATGGGAGGCAGTGACACTAAATTCAGACACATTTGTGAGTCTCATTCATTTCAAGGACATGCATTTGCACAATTCTACAACTTTGTGCACTATTCAGACATCAGGAGTCACATGACGAGAGACAGCCTGGCTTGCATCAGTCACACCAACATCAGTGAACGCCTCACAGCCACCCCTGTGGTCCTGTCAAGTTGTAATAAAAAGCTTACTGCCTGGAGTGGCCCTCTGGGACTTCAGGATGGTTTGAGTCAGGCGGCCTGAGCTGTGCCTTCTGTACAGCCTGACCAGGTGGGAAGAGCACAGGTGCCTCTTGGTGATTGTCCAGAGGAGGGAAGCCTGTCATGGGTTTCTCAGGGTGTGAGTTTGGCCCTGTTGGTACACTGGAGGCAGGAGCTGGAAACTATAGGGTGATAATTGTAGGGTGCCATCTGGAAAACCTGTTCAAATGGCATTTGCCCCAACCAGTAGCAGAGTGGTGTTCTAGAATGGCGTGAAGGCTTTCACAGGAACTGTGTGGTGGAGGCTTTGCTCACCTTGTCCTCTTCCTTCTAGCTGGTCATGCAGTATCTCTACTATGGGGGTCCAGAGTCACTTCTCATTAAGAACAACGAGATCATGGAGGTAAGGGGCCCACTCTGCTGTTGGCTGTTCTAGCTTCCCGTGGGTGAAGAACAGCTCTAAAAACTGTTAAAAAGGCTGTGATAAAGGGTCTGGATGAACAGCCTGATGAAGGATCCACCAGCAAGCCCCGACCTCCTATCCTGTGGAGCAAGGATGCAGCACCATCCCAGCCCGTGGCCAAGTTTGCCCACCCAGCATCCCTCAGAGTCCCTTCCATGAGGGATGTTATGGAAGTGAATGAATGTACATTTGAGCTACAACTGGGTATGGCAGCTCATGCCTGTAATCCCAACACGTGGAAGGCCAAGGCAGGAGGGTCACCAGAAGTCTGAGGCCTGTCTAGACTAGATAGCTCAAGTGCCAGGCTAGCTAGAACTCCATAATGAAACTGGGTCTCAAATCAGTAAGTATATACATCAATCAGTCAATCACCAGAAAGCTCATGATAAACACTGGCAGTCCCAGCCCCACTCTGCCATCCCCCTTGGAGAGCTCTGGCTTCCCCTTTCCAGAGCCTGTCATTTGCAGCACACCTCTGGGAGCCTGCCATAGCTCGGCACTGACCTCAGCGGTCCAATGGAACAAAGACCCCACCTTCCTGGATTCTGTACAAGGAGGCAGGAGTGACATGGCATCTGGCTCCAGAAGCCATATGAGATAAAGAAGACAGGGTAAAGGAGGTCCCTGAGATGGGGTGTGACATTGGAGTAGAGACCTGGACAGCACGAGCAGGGAGGGCGCCACACTGATACCTACCTTGCTAATTGGTTCCTTAGCTCATCCTCATCCCTGGGCATGATTGAGTGTTTGGGGTTGACCTGCTGTAACAGGTGTGCCCGTGATTCACCTTGCCCTGTCCCCTGCCCCTACCCCACAGTAAACTTCATAACCAGGGCCTGCCTGTTCCCCAGGATCACTTTATGTCTGTAGTGTATCCAGCACCTTTGTTCCTGTCCCTCAGCCGTGCACTCTGTTCCTTCCCCACTTTTGCCACTAACAGGCTCTTTTTATGCATTCTAGCTTCTGTCCGCTGCTAAATTTTTCCAACTGGAGGCTCTGCAGCGACACTGTGAGATCATCTGTGCAAAAAGCATCAATACTGACAACTGTGTTGATATTTACAACCACGCCAAGGTAAGCTGCCCCCTTCCTGATACCACGGCTGGGCCTTTGCATTCAAGACTCTCCTGTCTTATGTGACTGAGGATTGACTCGGGGCCTCAGCACATGTTGGCCAATTGCATCTGCCACTGAGCTACATCCCCAGCCCATAGACTCTCCTTCCTCCTTGAGATCGCATACCTCCTCCACTTTCTTTATTCCCTGAGTACTGGAAAGCAGGCCAAGGAAAGTTGCTCTCAAAGAGTGCTCCTCAAACTCCGCTCTCCACAATAACGACATCACAGACTCTGATTCCACAGACCTGGCCTGGGTCCTGGCTTCTGCTGTCCTAACCAGCCTCCAGCTAATGTCTCTGCTACTAAGTGATCTTACATAGAAGGTTCTAGAACAATGGATATCAAATGTGGTCCCCAATTCTGAAGCAGCCTGGAACTTCGTAGAAATGTCAAATGTTAGGCCACACTTCAAATCTGTCAAGCTGAAAACTCTGGGAATAGGGTCCAGCCCCCTCAGCTTCACAAGCTCCATGCTTGATGCCTGTTCTAGATTGTTCCCGACTCAATGCACATTAGTATCCCCTGGGTATGCGTTTAAAATCACTGTGCATAGGACTCATCCCAGACCAATGAAGTCACCCAGGTGGGTGTCTTTTCTAAAGCGTCCAGATGATTCTGAGATGTGGCCAAGATAGAGAACAGGGGTCTCTGGGGCCAGGTGGATGGAACAGCTAACCACTAATCAGAATTGCCTGGGGAGCTTTAGAAATACTTGATTGTTGCCCTCTGTCACCACAGAGTCCCTGCAGGGGCCCAGAAATCTGTATTTGTCACAACCTCTAGGATGGCATTGTCCTGAAGCCAGTCTCCACACGGTTTTTAGGAACCAGTGATTTTATCCAGTTTCTTTCACAAGTAGAGAGAAGAAAAATATTTTGGCCAGGCACCCCTCAAGGTCATTTCCTGTGTTGAGCATGGGGGACTCACAGTTGCTAGGAAGAAACAATGAAACCAGTAAAGACCAGGATTTCCCTTAAAATTTCTTCCCTTTTGAGTAACCAAAGCTCAGCACACCTGCCTCACAGGACCACAGCTCTGTAGTGTGACACTTGATATAATACTGTCCTTATGAGAGATCACATTGCCTTTAAGAAGTGATCTTCTGCTTAAGACAGCGTTCAGAGCCAGGTGCAGTAGCATACACTGTGACCCAGCAGGAGGCTCAGGCAAGAAGATCCTGAGTTTAAGGCCAGCCTGGGCTACATAGCCCCTGTTTCAAAACAAACAAAAATTAAACAAAAGATGACGTTCTGTGAGTCCTATTTATTTATTTATTTATTTATTTATTTATTTATTTTGCCATTACTGGGGATTGAACCAAGGACCTCATACATGCTGGTCAAGCACTCTACCACTGAGTTACATCCCTCAGCAGCGAGCCCTTTTTTTAACGTGCAGCTCTTGTACTAAAAGCCTTGTACATCATCTTAAATCCTCACCACAACCTTCTGGGTAAATGTCATCTTTACTCCAAGTCATAAGGAGAACAAGGCTCAGGGAGGTGAAGCAACTTGCTTACCATCACACAGCTGATACCAAGAGTTTTTCATATATATGTGAAAAACTCTTGGTAAATATATATATACACATACATGTGTGTACTATACCACCTAGCCCTTAAGTGGACATGCGTATCGTGTAGCCTTCACCACCTTCCACCTCCAGAGCTTTTTTTCATCTTCTCAAACTTTTCCAAAACTCCGCCTTTAAACACTGACTCTCCCTTCTCTCCTTCCACCTGCCGGTAAGCACCATTCCACTTCCTGTCTCTGGGGAATTTGACTCCCTAGGCACTCCATACAAGTGAAATCATATACTGTTTGTCCTTTTGTGGCCAGCTTTCTATCAACATAATGTCTTCAGTCTTCATCCAATGCTTTGCATACATCAGAATTCCCTTCCTTTTTAACTCTGAGTAGCACTCCAGTACATAGTCCATTGTATTATATATGGATATAATTTTAAATAACTAGATACTTCCTATGCTATACAGAAAACATGGGTTAACCTGTGTGTCAGAGAGTGACAAATCTGGATTCAAATCTCAGTTCTGTGCTTTTGACAAATACCCCAAAGGCCCCAAATCAGGGGCTCAGAAGTGTGTATCCCTATGTCCAGAATAGCATTACTTACAATAGCCAAAAGGTGGAAACTACCCACATGCCCACTGAAAGATGAACAGATAAACAAAATCTGGCATATGTGTGTGCATGTATTTTAAATTTTACTTGTTTTTATTTGTCGACATAAAAGCACAACTCTCACCCCAAAGGGCCTAAGAGACAGTTTATTCTGGAGCCAAATTATGAGTGACCATGACCCAGGAACACAGATTCAGATTACTCCAAATTCCTTGTTCTGACACCATAACAGTTTCATGAAGTTTTTATAATAACAAAGCAAACAAAGTCATTAACAGAGACACTTTCAAATACATTGGTGGAGCCCACATCCAAGAGGTAGGCTATAGTGCAGTGAGGAGAATTCTGCTATAGGCTTTAGATGTTATCTGACAGGCTCTTTAGCCCTTGGGTTTGTGGAGGCTGGTGGTCTGCTAAAGATGGCTCAAGATAACTGGTAATTTGACTCTGGACCTGCAACATTCCAAACCTCTCCACAATCACTGAAGCTCTAATTGGTTGATCGCCCTGGAAACTCTCATTCACATATTTTTATTTACCTGGGAGGCAGGAAGTTCTCTCTCTCTCTTTCTCTCTCTTTCTCTCTCTCTCTCTCTCTCTCTCTCTCTCCCCTTCATAGATAGATGATAGACAGATGCTCTCCTCTCCTCTCCTCTCCTCTCCTCTCCTTTCTGGTATTTTCTGGGCTTGAGTATGAATTTGGAAATCTTGATTCCCTAAAGAGATTAAGAGATCTTGGAGTAGCTCAATCCATAAAGTGCTTGCTTCCCAAGCATGAAGACCTGAGTTCAGATCCCCAGAACCCACAAAAAAAGGGAGGCATTATAGCACATGCCTGTAATACTCACTCTGGGAGGTGGCGACAAGAGAGTCTTGGAGTGCTCTGGACAGCTGGTCTCCATAAATTGGTGAGCTCCAGGTTCAGTGAGAGGGCCTGTCTCAAAATCTAAGTTGAAGACTGATTGAGGAAAATAATTGATATCAACCCCTGGCCTCCACGAGTACACAAGTGCACACACACACACACACACACACACACACACACAAAACACAGAGGTAGTGAGGATTACACCCAAATCTGGTATTTTTCTTCTTGAGACAGAGTCTCACTGTGTAGTTGATTTGAACATTCAGTCTTCTGTTTCAACCTCTTGAAGTCTGGAATTCCAGATCTGTACCCCAGCTAAGCAGTATTTGTTTTCATCTTAAACAGGTTGCTTTGCATAAGGCCACCCAGAGAAGCCTGAGTATCCATTGTCCCCCGCTAACCCCTTGACCATGGTCATTCAAGTTCCCCAGGAACTTGACATCCACAGGTGGCTTTTCTGTGGCCTGTCACCTTGACAGTGAGTCCCATCACAGTCCAATGAGGCTCCTTAACAGGCAGTTTCTACTGTGCGTGTCAGGATTTAATAATGTAGCACTGTGCCTTGTGAGTCCCTGAAGGGAATACAAGCCCAGAACACCTGTGGCAGGGAAGCATGCTCTTCATGGCATACCCTTGCAGCCAGGGCCTCAGCTTTGACAGACACCAGCCTCCGCCTCACAGGTACCATCCTGGAGTGGCTCCAATATCAACATCTGCCTTCTGTGATATGTGCATGAGTGGCAGGGTGGGACTAGCTGCCACCTCCCCGTGTGTACATGGCTTCCCTGAGCTGTGGACGCTGCAGCCTGGTAAATGAACTCCAGCCACAGGGATTCTGTTCCTGACAGATGTGTTGGCAGATTGACTGTCCTGCAGTAACAGGTAGAAAAACCAAGAAAGCAGCACTTACTTTGAACCATAGGCAATGCAGCCATTTCAATGCTAACAGCCACCTTCCAAATGTCAGCAAGGATCTCTGTAGTGCCACCTCTATACTGTGGAATTTTTTTTAATTATTTATTTAATAACCACACAATCAGAAGAAGCATTTCATTATAACAGAATTGACATATTCAATAACAATTTCCAGAGCTAAGATGCATCTCCTTCAAAATT